ATGCAGAGCAAGGGGTGCTGTCGGTGCGAACACACCCCCCTAAATTGTATTAAGAAGTAATTATTGTATGTCTTGCTGATATATTATATTTTTATCATTATGAATATTAAGAGTTTTAAAGTATGAAAGTGCAATTTTTCGGGCACCTTGAGGTCCGTATTCTTCAAATGTTCCCACCTAGCTCCAACCATAGTGGGGCTGAGGTGGTGTGGTGCCTCACAACCCTCCTACCGTCCAAGTTAGTACCAGAAGTAATAGTAGTAGTAGTATTAGTAGTAGTAGTATTAGTAGTAGTAGTAGTAGTAGTAGTAGTAGTAGTAGTAGTAGTAGTAGTAGTAGTAGTAGTAGTAGTAGTAGCAGTAGCAGTTGCAGTAGTAGTAGAAGTTTCAATTGTTTAATTCAGTTGTAGTTTCCCCACCCCCATTTCTCAGTTTCGGAGCCCCTTGTCCAAAGGCAAGAAAGAAAACGGCAGTTAAGTGATGTTCTTTAGGCAATGTATACTCTTTTATACCTCCTGTGTGAGACAAGAATTTACAATATGATGTTCTTACATGTTCTGCATGTCTCATTGCAAACAATCTACAATCAATAAACACATCCGGTGGTATAACATCACTGAAAAAAACAAAACAACAAACATGTTTCATTAGTTTTAGGAATAACAGAATTACTTCACTCTCTTCGAAGATACACAGTTTGTGGTAACATCTATAGAAACTTGAATAATAACTTAAATTCCTCATTTAAAAATATCTAATAAGTTATTAATTTCCTATAAAGAAATATATCTCACATTTAGGTAAATAAATTACAGAAAAAAATTAACTTTACAAGGTATCACAAGGTATCTAAGGTATCACATGCTATGCACGGACAAAATGCCTTGTTTGTGAGCAAATATAAAATGTTAAATTATATATGGATGATCCTTTTTTGAAAACCAAGGAGAAATTAGCTCCGGGGAGACGCCTCATGGTCAGTACAGCAGGAGACACTCCCTACTCTTTTCGAATAGTGCACAGTGTTCGTTTTGTGCACATGTGCTATTATTCGCACAGAACTAATGCTCAAAATCCCATCAAAATGAAGAGGTAATTAGGACAAAGTGTCTTTCATGAACAGATGTAAGTAGTGAAACCAATGAATACATTTGTAACCAAAGAAAAACAAATATTATTACATTTTTCTCAATCTGTATTCATCATGCCTACTGATTAACCAGGTTATTAGTTTAATAATAATTAGACTTGCCACAAATCTCTTAATTTTTTGGTTTTTCCTAGTGGAAAAACGCTCGGAGAGCGCCACCAACATCTGGATATATCAAAAAAATTATTATGTTGTTGAATTTGGATGGAACGCCATTAGTGCCAACATCGATTTATTTTTTTAGTAGTTTTCACTGAACAAATTTAGGGACTGGAATCCAGTCTAAATAATAACATATCCAGAAGATTATCAATTTAAAATACATACTCTAAAATTGAATTTTTACAACACATACTTACTTCTCTTTAAGTTCCCCTATTACCCACTCCATGCGTGTCACCTTTTGTTGCTGAGTAAGTCCATCAAGGCTCTGCAGCTTTTTGTTTTCCACACCGGTAAGACCTTAGGAATGAAATAACAATTTAAATGATATTGAAAATAATCATTATTCGAAAAAAGAGCACCAAAATGTAATAGAACAATCAATACAAACATAGATGTGCTCACTTCCAAATTTACATTCAAGAAACCTATTTTAAATGAAACTTTCATTTTGTTAGTTAAGCATTCTTTTTTCTAAGTAATTATCTTTGTATTTTTAATCTCAGCAAACCCTTTATTTATATTCATTTATTTATTCAAATTCTCATAGCAAAAAAAAAAAAACATCGCCAATGAAGGGAAATACCCCTTTTCATGTTTTGAAATTTGCTGAATTCTTTAATGTAATTTTTCAATTGAATTTTAAATCACTAAATGTATGCTGTTATATGAGTTTGTTGTGAATTATTTATATTTTGACTATATTGTTTTTTTATGTGTGGTAGTTTTTGTGTATGTGTGTGCATTTTCTCCTTTTTCATTTCAAATTGCTATTCTTAATGAAATTATTTATTCACTTTTTACTGTAATTTAAATATGTTGCTTAATTTTTTAATTGTTGGTGTGTGATGGGTTTGTTGTGTGTAAAGTGTGCACGCTGTTGTTGCTGTTTCCTTTTCATCTCATTTCATGTGAATTTTATTTAGATTTTGAATTTTTCATGTGGGTATAATTATTTTACTGTTAACAACTGCAAATTTTTTTTGTAAATGCAATTTTTTTTATAAATATTTTTAGCAATTCTGAATTTGTTTGTAAATTTGATAAATTTCAGGCAATTTTGTAATTTGTATATAATATTTCCATTCAATTATTTGTTTACTGCTGTTGTTTGATTTTTATTTACATGTTTTGAATGTGCAATAAATACCTCAAATTGAATTGAAATAATTAAAAAATAAGCTTATTGCAATTCTCATTTGATAACATGACGTGATGAATGGGATGTATTTCTATTACTTTGTTTTTTTTAATTGTTTACTTTAATGGCAATATTTTGTAAACAATTAAAAAAATATACTTTTCCTGCTCAATTTCATAACAAAAAAATAAGTGATTACGGAGTAAATTTGAAATGTTAAGGATCTTTTTAATATATCATAGCAGCCAATATAAAGGATTATCCCCCTAAATTCTTCTACCATTAGAACTGCTGACTGACAGGTGGCCTATCACAAGATTTAATTCCAACAAAATCTCAATGCCAAAACAAGTCCATTTTAGGCCTCACAGAATTCATAATTTGTGTGGGAAATACCCAATTGTTAAATTACAGTTCATACTAACTTAATATCCAATTGTTATATATTTTGTTAAAAAAAAACAAACAAACAAATAAATTGCCTACTTTGAATAAGCATCTTGATATTAGTTCCCTTCAATAGGTCCATGAGAACATTGCTCAACAGATGATCATAGGGCTTCAGCCTGAAATTGACCCATGCTGTGAAACCATTGATCCTTGTCCGCAGAGACATCTTTCAAACTGCTTCCTTGTTATAAAATCTAATCAGGCATCAGTAGCCAGAGCTTCAGGCCTGAAAGATCAAAACACATGATGCTACCAATGTGATAGTTCCAGTTTGATAGGCCCTGTGTATTTTGGGGGCACTGCTAACTTTGCTTTTCTTCAAGGTTAATTTGCATAATATGCAAATCCTGAAACAGATATTTGCAGAAGACAAGTCAAATTTTGAGAGAATGGCTATGGAATCTAAAACTATGCAACAAAGAGCTCTTGGAAGTACATGCAAAGTAAGACTAAAAGCAAATCAGCAATTCCCACTTTACTTAGCGAATTTGGAGGGGAGGCTGACAGCATCCTTGAAAATCCTGAGTTGATATTCCAGAGTGAAGGGGGTCCCAAGACCCCACAACTCGAAGCAGTCTCCCGGAAATCTGGACGGTCTCCCGCATCCCAAAAGCAAACAAGAATCTCCCAGACAAGGTAGGGTAAGTAAAAGGCAAGAGAAAAACCCATAACTTGTATAGTCGTTGCCGAATTGCATATGGGCATGGTCAATGACCACCTAGCAGCCGTAAAAAAGGCACTTATAGTAAGCGTGACACGTTCACATATTAATTCTGTTGAAATGAACCACAGCATTGGGGAACCCCCTTTCCAAAGATGCAATGGGTTCCTTAACAGTGTTCTCCACAGGATTTTTTAAAGGTATAATGGGGAAACGAGCGGCGACATGTTGTTTGGCGCATAATATTCCACAATGTGGCAATTGTATTAATCCTGTTTTATAGCCATAAAATTAATTATTAGGCTCAATAAAAAAAATCATTAGTTGACTACCTTCGTGTGCATGTGCTATAGCACTCAAAAAAAAAAAATTATTATTTTTTCATTTTTTTTTAATTTTTTATTTTTTTTTTTCATTTCATAAAATTATTAGGGCCTTAAAAAAAAATCAAAAGTTGATTACCCTTGTGTGCATGTATTCTATAGTACTCAAAAAAAAAAAATTTCACCCGATCCTGTAGAGTGTCGCCCGATATTTAAACAAATCTCCAGTTCTCCCGATCGAATGTAATTTTCACCAAATTTCACAGGCCACCCCCTCCCCAAAAAAACACCGATTTATGCATAATTTGATTGATTTGATCGTTACTGTCATCAATGTATTCGCCGCCTGCTCGCTTCGCAGTGCAATGAACAACAGCCATTTCAATTCAAATGTCGCCACCAACAGCCAATGATTTGTAGTGACGTAACTTTTTTGGTTCTTGCATCATCTTTTGGTTAATTCTGGAAACCTAAAAAAATCTCCAGATTTTCATGACCCAAGCAAGGGTTGGCAGGTCTGGGAGTTGGTATTGTATAATACAATAAAAGAATTATGCAAGTACAATATAGGTATGCACCAAATTGTACAATTTAAAACCCAAAAATGAAAATTGTTTCTATTGTGGGGATCCACCCCTCCCACATCCCCTACCCTTCCTCGGTTGCTTCACTCCTTCGATTGTGTTAATGTTCTCACTCCCAGCTAACTGACAAACTTGGCATCTCTGCTTTAGGCTTATTCTGATAGGCTAGCTAGCCTAGACCTTTGCCTACCATAGGTCTAGGCCTATAGGCCCTAGGCAAAAATTGGCCTGGGTCAGCGAAGGGGGCTCAGTCACTCACCAAACAGCCAGGACCCTTCTTCTGGCCCAGCCAGGTAACCTTCTTAACTAGGGCTAGCCTAGGCTAAATGTTTAGGCCTTAAAAATAGTCAAAACTATAAATAAATGAATGACGGACGCCTATCCTATATTCGTTTTAAGAGCATTCTTCAAACTCACTGTCTCGTTATTGTACGAAGATGCTGATTTGATATTAAGTTTGTAATGCTCAGCTCTCCATGGCGAATCTAAACAAACTAAATGCGCATGCGTGTTCATTAAAGGACAACTGCAGTACAGTGGGTTACTTTGTAAATTGTAGTTCTGTTATACTAGGCCTATTATAGTTAACATTTCCATATTGATTTAGGATCCAGGAAAACGAATGTCTTCTATCACATACTAGTAAGGACGGAACATAGGCCTAATCGACTTATTAATTATTATTAACAGTAATTAGACTCGTCGTAGGCTAGGCCTAGACAGTATTTTAGGGCCTACAGTAGCTTGGCATACCTCAGTCAGTCAGGCTAGGCCGGCCAGAGTCTAGAGAGGCCTAGCCTGACTATTTTAACTTATTTTGGTTTCTGAGAGCCTGTTAGAATTTCAAGAGGTAGATTTTTGTTTGGGATATTTAATTTTATTAATAATTTCTTTTGACAAATTAATACAATCATAAAATAAAAGTACTGTATTTTATTTGCGATGATGATAGCCTACACGTAACATCAAGAAATAATAAAATTTACTCAGAAATTGCTAGACCTTATACCTTACAATCTGGGTTCTAAGCATGCCAAGTTAAACCATAAACCAGCAGAGAGAATACAGTACAGTGACAGGGTAGTTCAAGGGCCTACTTAAAAAAAAAAAAAAAAAAAATCTGCTACATGAATGCACAGAAATGTACTTTTCTGGATTATAGGATGTCTGTTATGATTCAATTTTCTATGTATGTTGCCTCCTAAGTAAAGTAGTACCATATTTTACAAATTGAGACACAATATACAAATACACATTATAAATAAAACGAGCAGGGATAATTAGTTGATAGGGATGCGGTCAAGAAATTTGCAGAGATAAATTCCAGGCTTCATTGGAAGTATGCTCATTCTGATAATGATAGGCATGACAAACTTTCTACAAACTTTATTTTTATTTTACTATGTTGCTTTAATAATTTATATTACACCTAGTTTGTATAATTGGTTTTTTTTTAGATACCCTCTGATTTTTCTCAATAGTATAACTATATGGGAACGATCTCCAAAAACAGTGGATTTTGGCAAAAGAGGAGTCAACAACTTGGCATTCAGAAAGCTGGGGTTTGGGATTGTCATCAGCAGTCTGATGTTTTTACCAAATTGATTTTCAAATCCAGTGGTTCCAGGAGACTGGATGAAGTGCACCCCCAGCCCCTAAAAGTTTGTTCATGCCGATGCACTCAGATCTTTCAAAGTGTTGAGTAACAGGCTAGTCCTGGGAAAGCCTTTGGACGCCGACATTTTTGATGTAGTCGGCGCACAAAGAAAAAAAATCAACACATAAATACTAATTATTGGTACCAAAAAGCCAATAAGATACTTTCTTATCTGAGATTAATCAGTGAACCTTTCGGTTTTTAAAAAGCCAATAATCAGACGTTTCCTGATGATGACATAATTAATGTCGAAATATTGAATCCCAACATGATGGTGTGTATTTCAATACTTGGAGTATGTATTATACTTTCTTATCAGACGTTTTTTGTATTTTGGCAGCCTTCTCTGAATATTCAAACCCCTTCCATTTTGCTGCATCCATTGAGACTGGATATACAGTATAGGGTACTGCCACCTGCAATTTGATAATCAAATGGGGAAAGAAGGTATCCTGTTTGTAAAGTGTAGACATGAAAGAGGGCAGTATACAGACAAACATGTGTTGTAATTCAATCAAGTATTATTTACAATATCTCAATTTTCATAGTTGATTGAACCGCTTCTTCACCTTGAATACCACTCTTCTGTTGCAAACATGGCCAATGAGAAGAATGAACCTGAAAGTGATGCATCATCCAATGACAAGAAAGCTCAAGAGATGATTGACAGCATATGTGCAAAGAAGCAGGAGTCATATGATCAATTCATGAAATCTTTTACCATGTTACAAAAAGGTTAGTTATTCATACCACATTTCTTGTAAAAAGTAAAATAATTTAATTTTGTCTCCTACTGCTATAGCAGGTTTTAATTATACTTAAAAAATATATCAAATTATTTATATCTGATTGAAGAAAAAAAATGTTCTGACCAATCAGTGACCAGCCATTGAGCATGCAGTATGCAGAATAAAAATACACTTTAACATGTTTGCTGGGTGACAGGGATGCGTTTTTACGTCCGACAGGGTTCACTCAGGCCACTTCTTGGTGGCAGAGGTCACCAGAATGTGAACTCTCACCCTAGAGATTCATAGTCTAAAAATAAATATGATATGTTCGTGTTACAATACAGTTAATGATAATGATTTCATTATGGTGGCGCCAATAATGAAAATTATTCCTATTTTCATTATGCCGGGGCACCACCATAATGATGATTTTCATTATGGTGGCGCCCATAATGAAAATGGGAATAATTTTCATTATGAAAATCATTATGGTGCGCCCATTTATGCCCTTGTGTATGAAAATTGAAACCAGGACAAGGCTTGGCAATCAATGTGTTTATGTTAGTATATATTAATAACAATTTGTTAAGTAAAATATATGAAATTTAATAAAATAAAAATACATTAATAATTTTATGAGATCCATCCTTTACAGTTTTTGCTGCTGGCTTATAATGCTTCAAGTTTTTACTTGTATACTTATATGAAATAATAAATATTAATAAAAGTGCATGTTGTTTTTACCAGAGGATGTAATAAATCAGTTGATGAAGGACGTAAGTGATGAACTATTGAACGAACCAATCCAAGAAGATGATGAATCTGCAAAAGTTAGATTGAACCAACAGCCAAGGAGTGAAACGAAACCAATGGAAGGAGATGAGGATGTCGAAACAGAGGTGAATTTTACTTTAGGATTTACAGGGGTCCCAAGTTGAAAGAAGTCAATTCCAGGAGCAGGGGTGGTGCCAGTGGAGGGAGGGACAGGTCCCCCATCGGGGACGCCCCATTGAGCAAATCCTGGCACCACCCTTGTCTGGGAGATCTGTAGTGTTGGTTTCGAGAATTCGCATTAGGGGGTCGGGCAGGGAAGAACTTTCACAGATGTAGGGTCTTACCACCTCAGCCGGAAATGAAACAGTAAGATTTGAATATAATTTTCTTTTTCTCTCCATTTTTTTTATTATTTTTTTTTATTTTCACTAAATTGGTATGAAGGGGACTTCCCTCTTGAATCCGCCACTCATCTGGTTAATGAAATTTCATAACATTTAATTTTGTATTTGCTGCACATTTTGATACACATTGGCAATGGCTTCTGTGACAGTTGATAATAAAGCAGTGAAAACATGCAAATATTATGATGTGGGTTAATTTCCGGAAGATTCTTGCTTACTTGCAAGAATTCGGGAGACCGTCGAGATTTCAGGGAGACTCTCGCGAGTTCTGAGAGACTTGGGACCCCTGGATTTAAAGTTGTTTGTCATTCTTGCTTGCACTGATCTCCTCGCAAATTGTATTCCACCTTCTTATCTTCCACTGATAAGCAATTGGCTGGGGAGTTAATATTGCACAGTTAACTTCTTAATATTATTCGAAAAAGTGTCAATAACCAACCCCCAGAACATACACACAGAAGGCCTATAGCCAGCCTACTAAGACAGTTAGGACAGCATCTAATGGCCATAGTGCAGTATTAAGCCTGCAGTATTCAGTGTGCATCATTGGAGAGTATTATAGTGCAGCTGGACAGCCAGCACAGCATTGTACAGAAAGTCCCAAGGGATTCCAAAGTAGGAGCCTCTTAGGGCCTCTGCCCACTTTTCAGTAAAACTGTTGGTAGGTTAAGGGGTAGAGATTTTATGACTTAAGTGGGTAAATAATATGCTAAAAAACCACAATATCAGGAACTGTAATCACAATACTTTTTTTGGATCAGCAAATTAATATTTTTAACTCAACATACTCAAGTGTCATCGGAGGGCAGTTGGTGCATTTTTCTCGTTGCCAGCACTAACTGACAGAACTTTACCACTAAGCATCTTTGGATGGACAACCATCTCTTCTGCCTTTACAAATTTGTATTTTTCTTATTATTTCTGTTATATTCTTGTTTAGATTCTAATAGAGGGAACATTCTGTGGAAGTATGTCAGGAAGAGAAAGACCAACTGGGGAGAAAAGTGTGCAGGTAATGGACACGGTATATAAATAATACTTATCCTGGCAAATTATACGCAAGTCAAAAATATTCTGTACTCGGTTGTGAGCTGGTACTTGGCAATTAATGCACCTCTTCCTTGAGGTTATAAAGTGCAGGTTCCTTTTCCCTGGTCATTGGGTTCACATCCTTTAAGTGTTGCTGCTGGTAATCAGCACAGGGGCAGGAAACCCCACCAGGTACCCATGCATGCCCCCCCCCCAGTTGAAGCCCCACACCCATTGAAAATTTTAGAAGCAAAAAAAAATAATTCAAGCATTTGAAAGTCGCATCATATCACCTACTTAATCATCGAGCCCATTCTCCCCACCCCATCCCCCAATCCCTCATTTGAAGACTTCTAGATGTGTCACTGACTGTAATCTATACCTACCATAGTTTGGAGTAAAAAAGTGAAATCTGGAAAACCTCAAATCATTCACTTGAGAAACATTAAAAAGCTAGTTTGTTATCAAATTTAAACATATATCAAACCAAGGTTTTAATGATTTGCAGACCTGCAATACAATAATGCATACACCTGTAGTATGATTATTGCCAAATTATACTTTGACTTGTTTGGCAAGAAAACATTTTCAATTGATTTCCAGCCAATTATATGAAAGAACACAGATTGTTAAATTCAGGGGTAGTGTATCTGAGTCGTTGACTTGTAGCACGGGGGCACCACAGGGGTGTGTTTTGTCGCCCTGGCTCTTTTCGGTATACTCTTCTGATTTTTGTAGTAATATTGATCCAAGTAAATCATTTAATACTAAGTTTGCTGATGATACTTGCCTGATTGGTTTGATTTCAAAAAATGACACATCCTTGTTTTATGACTATGTTGAATCTTTTATTGTTTGGTGTAAGGAGAATTTTCTTGAACTAAATGCAAAGAAGACTAAGGAAGTTATTGTTGATTTCAGAAGAAAAAATAAAACTAATCATGAAAATATTGTAATCGATAATGAGAGGGTGGAAATTGTTGAAAAACACAAGTATCTGGGACTAATTATTGATAATGAACTTAACTGGGAAAGCAACACTAAAGAAATCCGTACCAAGGCAAATAAATGAATGTATTTTGTATATAGAATGAAACGGTTTAATGTTAGCTCTCATCTTATTCATATGTTTTATTCCTCGGTTGTCCAGTCAATTCTTTCTTATTGTATTATTATTGGATCTCTCATATCACCGCAGACAGTAAATGTCAATTATTGAGAATTGTAAATAAGGCTGGAAGAGTGATTGGAGCCGATGTTAAGTCCTTGGAAGATATTTTTAATGATTTTTTACTTAAGAAATTTAATTCAATTATGCAAGATTCATCCCATCCATTATTTTCAGACATTATCATAAAGGGTTAGACATAAACAAAACAAAATATCCACAAACCATTTTAAAAATTCAGAATTGTACATCGCTTGTAATCTATTTAATCAAAATTTCAGAAGATAACTGCACAGGACTAAAATTTTTATTTTCTAAGAAATCTTTATTTAACACTCTATATGTTTATGAATGATTCTATGTCATGTACAACAAATATCTCAGAATGTATTATTTTGACAATAAAGTTGACTTGTATCTTGTAATTAAAAAAAAAACATGTTCAAAAGAATAGGAACTTTATTTGATATGTCTGTTAATTGACAATAAAATATTTTAGTATTCTAATTTTTAATTGAAATCATCCTCACTATAATTACAAACTGTGAGAAATTCAAACTTGAAGTTTTTTCTTATAACAGACATTATATTTTTAAAAACAAATTTCTCAAAATTAATTACCAGCCAATTTAAGGATCTTACGTACTTAGGAAAGGATGATATTTAATAGTATATCTAAGTCGTCGTAATTAATATATTTTTGTTTCTTATTGAAAACGATAGCTTATAACTTATTAAATATTCACAATACTGTATATAATTACATACAAAGTTTTATTTGACATAATATTCATAATTTTTTTATTGGATAAAATATGCATCTATCACATTAGAAATTATACCTCTTATTATCAGCTGCATTTTGCTTTTTGGCAGTTTGATAACTTTGTGGATGAAATGGAAAGTGATGAGGATGATGATGGAATTGATGGGTTAGGAGAAAAATATGTGGCATCATTTTGCCATCAAAGTAATAATACCAAAGATGTTGATGGAACAAATGCAGAAAAAATAGCAGGTATTTGTTAAAAGCACTTTCACTTATTTATTTGTACAATATTGTAATTGTGAAAATGGTGTATGTTCATTATTCCTAGTTAAATTAGTACCAATAAAAAATATGGTGTCATCGTCCTACCTTGGAGCTTTGATTTAGAATGTAATGACGTCATGTTAATATAAACTGCGCATCTCTAAACGTTGTGCGTAAACGTTTTCTCCAGAGTTCCTGGGCGGTCATCGGCCGAGTCTGCTTTCAGACCAGAATGAGGACAGTACAGTATGTCTGTATTAAACATTGCGTCCATAACATCTCTGAATAATCAAAATTAATTTACAGTAGAACATACATAGAATGCATGTGACACCAGTTATGAATGAGTGAATTTGTTCAACATTCTTGCTCCATCATGACCACAGCCAAAATCCGAAAATTATGCCTGCAAATTGCATTTATATTAGATTTTTGTTTTAAAGTTTACAAGGTAGATGAATATTTATTTGCCAGGTGTTTTGAGACCAAAAAGCACCAATAAATTTAAAGAGTATTGATATTATCTTAAAATCAAGACAAACTACCTAGAGACTCTAAAGATGAGGGGGTTTCAGACTGGGAGGATGAAGTTATCACACATATTCGGTTTTTTTTCTGAATTTTCTTAAAAGTTTTCAAGATACTATAGATGAAAATTTTGAGACCGAAAAATACCAACAAGTTTAAAGAAGTCTGATATTATCTTAACACGTTAACTGCCAGACCTGTTTTTAAGGTTCCTTCCCGTATGCCAAAACAAGTTTACATGTACAAACATACTTTTTTGAAATTTTATCTAGTCTCACATTATCAAAATGATGTGTCTAATGAATTGGCGGGAAAATATTAGGGGGCGAGTATACTCATCGATGGCACTATAATAGAACATTCTACTGACTATGCCAAGTGCGAGTTATCTCGTCCGTTTTTGCATGGGTTGGTATATGTTCAAAGGACGCCCCCACTTGTGCCACTCGAGTGTACTGCCGGCAACATAACACAATTAACATACATATGTCATGTACCTTATCGTCTAGGTGTATCTTCCCTGAACTACCAGTGGTCCAATCTGCGGTTCTACAATGTATAACAAAAAAAACGCTAGAATGTTATCCCGATTTTGACGAGTATACTCGTCCCTGGCGCCCTCAGCAACACCCTGTGAGCGAGTATACTCGTCGCTGGCAGCCAACGTGTTAAAATCAAGACAAACTACCTAGAACCTCTAAAGATAAGGAAGTTTCACACTGGTAGGAATAGGGTAACACACATATTGGGTTTTTTTTTTTTTTTTTTGGGTTGTTTTTTTTTTTTGGACAATATCGGACGAGATAATAATGTATACATTTACGCAGTACCATGGATTTGTTCAGCAATATTTACAGGTACTTTTGTTTTTGTGTAGCCACAGAAACACCTTTGATTTGCACTGACACGAAACCACTACCGGGCGAAGCAGATGATGAAGATGGTAATAACACAGGTAGTCTCCATCCAGCAGTCAATGCAACTCAACTAGACTTATCATCCAGACTCCAGCAACCTTTAGAAGAATTTAATGAAAATGAAAAGCCAGATGAGGTAAGCAACACAATATTATATTCATATACAGTGGCAGAACAACGAGTCACTGGGACTGAGGAGAAAAACTGTTGGGGGCCCATGAATTTTAGTAGTCAATTATGAGGGGCCCCTTCACATTGGAAGATCAAACAACACTGTAAACTGAAATTGAATTGTCTGTGAATTCCTGCAGCCCTGTTCATTACTTAGAGTATTTTTAAGTTTAGCAAATCAGTTTGTAGCAGTGCCTGGCTGTGGGACATTTTGGGTCAGGAATCAATGTTACAAATAGAAGTCATGAGTTTAAAACGTATTAAATTTTTTTATTTTTCTACTTTTGGGTATCTTCTACTGGATCATAATGTCAAGGCTCTGTCAAGAGTGCTCTTTATTAATAAAAGGGCCTTTCGAGGCCCCTTTAGAATGGGGCCCAGGGCTTTGTCCCCTCCCTTGAGAGCCTGTTATGCTCCTGTTCATGAATGTTCTGTGGAAAATGTTGACTTCCATGATTTTTAAATTGTACGCAATAACTATGTCATGTGTTTGGGTGCACACAAGGCGGGCCCAGGAACCTCACTGCTGTTATTGTTGTTGTTCATGTTGTTACCAGAGCTTTAAAAGGTTTTGCACAGACGTGCAGGAAATTTTGTACAAATAAACTAGAGGTTATTTCCAACAAATGTTCATGGCCCTTTTTATAAATTTGACCCCAGTGTACCCCCTACACCTACAAAACTTTTGTTAAATACTTTGTATTCTAACCTTTTAATTTTTTATTTCAACTGTCTTTCTATACCCTCTAAGCTTCTCTGATATTCAGCCCTAATCTTAGTACTTATTCATTACAAATATCTAGTTTGGGTTCACTGACCAAGTTTTCCAAGGTAGTGAAGGGGATACACATTAGCATAAGTAGTTCATTGACAATTAGAGTGGTTTAGTGTTTGTATCTGTACCTGTTGTTACTATTTCCTGTCACATTACTGTTGATGACAAGTGACATATGGCTCACCCACAAGGGTCAGGACAGGAAGGAGTAAAGGTCAATAGGAAGTGGATAAATCGCAAAGATGTATTAAATGGCTTTTTAGCAAAATCTTACAAAATGATCTAAGTAAACACTTAACGTCAGGGAACTTGATTGTAGTTTCACAGCTTTATTCTGCAACTAAGTTAATACATAAAACATATTGAATTTAATTATTTCTCATGAACACTGCAGACAAATCAATTGAATTAAATACTTTTTGTAATAAAATGTCTGTAAATCATTGAAAATTGTTTTGAATGATATATCATTGGATGTTTGTAACTTGAAATATTTGATGATCAATTCAATAAGCAATTAATTAGTTTTTATATTAATATTTTAATCTAAATGTTTAATTTAAATGAGGAACTGTTTTATTTCAATCATTTGTTTTCCTTATTTTTACCAAATAATCTTCTTATATTAAGACTATCTTAATTAATTACAATGCAATAAATACTGTAATTAATAGTCATAAAGATTTTGCAAAACAACGTAACTTAACAAAAATATGAAAGCAAGTTACGTTGTTTTGCCATGGGGCATACTCGGAGGCAATACATATATCCACTCTTACACCCTCCTCATCATGTACATGTCCTAAACCACTGGAAAAAATATATGTTCATAATTCTCACAAGACTTCATGATCCAAAATCCATTCTTCGGACGACCCTAGGCTGGGATTTTCCTCTTGAGGCTGGTGTGACTAAACCATCTCAGATCTGGCTGGGGCTGTGGTGCCTCTTTCCTTCATCAGATCAGAGCTGCCAGCTCCAATTATCTGTGTCAATGTGGCAGACTACAGACTGCCAACCACATCATTCATGACTACCCTGATTTCAGACCACTTAAAGTGGAGCAGAAACTCAAAGAATTCGATGAATATGCCACAGCATGTTTTGGAATGACCATGACTTTTCACAGTATTTAGCAGTGCTGGGAGAACGTTTTTCAAATGTGGTGGGGGTGGGTGGGGGGAACACTAGCATTTCCTGCCAATCATACAAAAATATGCATAGACATATATTTTCTGCCAAAAAGTGAGATGGGGCCACGGCTCCCCCCCCCATTTCCGCCGGCCATGTTCAGACAAAAGAATAAATAAATATTAATAATTAGTAATAATAATTAAAAAAATATTTATCTTATATATTGTGTATATTATTGACTATGCAAAATATTTATTTGATTTATACATCAAACATGCTGAATAAATGAAAATTTTTAAAGTTTTTTGAAAAATTGTTGTGTTTGATAATTCACTAACATGAACTTTGGTTGACGTGCGTTTGTTTGGCGCGTCTCCGTACTGTCTCACACAAAGTCAAGTTTCCTATAATCATTATATCCTTAATGTCTTTCTCTTGAATCATGACAACTAAATACAGGTCTCTTCCGGATGTTTTGTGCACTATTTTTTTTTGTCGTACAGTCAGTCACGTATTGACGTGATCTCATGAAATATCAAACATACCATATTACCCTAAGATGAAGATGTATTGCATAGAGTCCTGTTTATCGTAACCAACAATTATCAAGTTTCCAAGATTTTTCATAACTATATGCGATATAATATTTTATTCAAAATTGAGATGGTAGTAAAAAGGAGTTATATCATATCAAACAATAAAAAAATGTATGGCCTACTGGCCCAGATTGCCAAAAAGTACAGTCATGAGTTTAAAACGTATTACAATTTTTTATTTTTCTACTTTTGGGTGTTTTCTACTGGATCATAATGTCAAGGCTCTGTTAAGAGTGCTGTTTATTAATAGTAGGGCCTTCTGAGGCCTCTTTAGACTGGGGCCCAGGGCTTCGTCCCCCTCCCTTGAGAGCATGTTATGCTTCTGTTCATGAATGTTCTGTGGAAAATGTTAACTTCCATGAATTTTAAATTTTACGCAATAACTATGTCTTCATGTCTTTGGGTCTGCGCAAGGTAGTGAAAAGGAGTTATATCATACCAAACTGTAAAAAAAAAGTATTGGCTGGGATTGCCAAAAGGCACAGGGCTCTCCTGGCAGCACATACAGTACACAAATACATAATACATTCGAGTTAAAAAATAGATAAATATATTTAAATAAACCATCTCTTTTAAAATGTAAATGTTACAGTAGTTTCAAACTAATTTACAGTGCATAAAATACATGAAGTTACATTTTAAAATTAATAAACAATAAAATGGCAAAAAGGGCAATAAAAGCAAAACTAAAGGTTAAAATTAACTTTCAAAATGAAGTTCAAAAACGGATATAAGCTAAAGACGAGTTATTTTAAGAATCATGTTAAATAAGGGAGTGTGTTGAATTCCATATCAAAATTGCTGTTTCATGTTAGTATTAAGGATGCATTTTGAAGCGTCTAAACATGACAATGTTAAGCGGTGAGGTACATGGTAAATGGTCCTATTTGAGAGTAACTATGGAGCTGTGTTAAAGGGCTGTATTGACGGTGTCATCTGACCATATTATTAATTGAAGAGTGTTAAAGGGATCATTATTTAATGTTCAAGGGTCATGTTATAGTGGTTGTGTTGATGTACCTTTTTGTGCCATTTTTTTTAGTGTTGTAACAAAGGTCTCTGAGGTCCTGGCCCATTCCTACTCAATAAATTTGGGGCCAGTAGGCCTGGGGGAAAAAATTCTGATTATAATGCTCCTTAAGGTCTAGCTAGTGCCCCTGGCATAAGCAGGTGAGAGCTCAAAGATGTTACGGCACTGCCACTTTTGTCTCTATAGATTACATGTTGAAAAAGTAATTATCTTTATGGAATACACTACTTTTTTGTGCAAATTGTGAAAATCAAACAATGAATAACACACCAAATTTACAGGATAAGGCAATTAAATATCTCAGGGTCACACCCAACTTTCAACTATACATTATTCTCTTCCATTTAATGGGGTGCCATGTGATGACAGATAGAAAACAGTACAAAACTTGAATCATCATGTTTGAATGTCACCAAGGTCTGCATCAGTGACTTATCCAGGAATTCGAAATTGGGGGGGCCAACAGTGAGGGTCTTTCACAGATGGAAGGTCTAGGTCACCTCAGCCCCAACCATGCAACAATTCAGATTACAGCACATCTAGATGGCTGGAAATGGTACTCGCATACTTAAATTTAAATACAAAGAAAATTAAAAGGCAGCACTCTGAGACTAACTTAGATGTTATTTATTTAAAACAAGCTTTCGCTGGCAGTCAATGCCAGCTTCATTTTATTTTTCCACTTTTCTTATAGTTTTAAAAATTTAGGTGGGTGGGGGGAGGGGGCGGGAAGCTGGCTGGGCATCCTTGAATCTGCCACTGTACACATCCAGCAATCTGCACTCTCTGTATTCAACCTACATATAATGCAGCCAGTACTTATCCTGGATTGCAGTCTGAACATAAACCTCATCGAACCTTCTCTTGTATGTAGTTTGCACTCATTTCATCTAGTCAGTACACATCAAGTTTTATGCCTCTCATTCAGTCTGATCAGGGGCAGATCCAGAATTAGAATTTTTGAAACGATTGGGCACCAATTTCATATGGGCCTACGTATAATGTAATACAGGTTATAACCAATAATGGTATGATCTGTGTTCAGTATGCTGTTAGTTACAAATTACAACATTTAGTATTAAACAAGTTCTCGTATATCTTGAAAGCTCTGATGAGGGCAGTATAATAGTGGCAGTAGAGTATATTCGCCCTAACGGCCACCCATGCAAAACAGATCTAATAATCATACAGCCGAGTGGAGAGCTCCTCATCAAAGCTAAAAATTAAATGACAGCAGTAGCAGTGGCGACTTTCCCTACCTATTTATTTAATATTCTTTATAAAACATTCTTATTTTATTTTTTACTCTAGCACGCAAGATTATGGCAAAAACCAAACCACTGCACATACAGTTATATTGTGTTTGTGAATCATGTCTGCCAGGTGTAAACTAATTACTATTTCAGGCATAATATTTTGTGTTGCTTTCGTTGTCCCAGGTGGCGTGTGATGAAGTCGTACCCTTTTCACTGGATGAAGACTTTGATTACAACAATGTCCACCTGACACCAAAGTGGAGTGGTGATACTAGGCCACCTGGTTTTGCAAATGGTACTTGAAGCAACGTCAGTCGGACGGGAGAGAGTTCGGGGTGGGCTGGCAATTACAACAAGTGAATTACTACTATTTAAGCTGATGTATTTTACTCTTTTAAGCTGATGTATTTTGTATTATTTGCTTATTTTTTTTATTTTTTTATTATTATTATTTTCGTTTTTTTAGGCGACCTGATGTTACCATCATTATTGATGAATACAGTAGTTGCCGCAATATATACTTTAATGTTTTGGTTTTTTTTTTTTTGGGGGGGGGTAGGGGAGGTGTTGCGTTCATAAGCCATGAAATACTGCACCTAGGGCTGATACGCAGCACAAACCACTAAGCACGGCTGGCTGAGAAAGGTCAGTGTGTGGTTTAGAACCCAAATGGAAAAGGCTGTGCCAATATTGAACATTAAACAATTGAAAATGTTCATAATTTGAATGCTAAATGGCAGTGAAACAACATAGGTGATTTGGGAATCTCCACATTTTCCAACAAGTTTTTAATAGTTTTTAAATTCCTTTTTTTTTTAGCTAAAACCATCATTCATAATTTGTTATGGAATATTAATATATAACTAGCTAATATCTTAATTTCAAATGTGCAAACATGCATGTATTATTTTACTTACTAAATAAATCGAAGACAGTCACTGTGTTCATTTTCTTGTGGTAATTTGCTTGCCTGCTGGGCTGTGGGTACATCATTAAATGCGTGCAGAAATTGGGGTCCGATATGTTGTTATGTCACAGTAATTGGCAGGGATCTCCCAATACTCAAATCGTCTGTTTATGGTGATGTTCTGGTTGATGTAATTGCAAATGTACATTTAAGTGATTGTTAATATTAACACTCATTAATTCTTGTTGAATTTCAGATTGGCCAGATATTGGCTATAACTAACTAAGCCTCGCTCACAATTTCATCACTATACTCAAGTCAAAATAAAAATCTTTAATGAATATTTCAATATTCGCCAAATTGTCATAAAAGAGAATTAAATATTTAGCATTAAATACAACATGGATGTTTGACCAGTAGGCCCAAAATGCTGTAAAATCAGAATTTGTGTATAACTACTTTTTGTATAGATGTTCATGATAAAGGCATGTTTGTATATACTATGTAGAATGCCTGATTATAAATGATGAGTCAAGCTCTAATAAAACTTTTTGAACAAATCAAATGTAGAATTATGTTACTTTATGTCAATACCAGATGTTAGTGGTTGATGTCTACAGTTGTTGTTGTAGATGATGTCTTGGACGTTGTAGTATGCGGTTGATATCTCTTTGATGTACTGTTTATCGTTGTTGCTTATATGTGTCATCATTTATGTCATCTGTCAGTATTTGATGTCTGCAGTTGTAGTGGATGGTGTTTTGGAGGTTGATGTCTAGTTGATCTAATATAATAGTGAGTGACGCCATCATTTTTTTTTTGTCAACAATTCTGATGTCAGTGGTTGATGTTTCCAATTTTTGTATATGATGTCTTGGCAGTTTAAGTATGTGTTTGATGTCTAGCTGGTGTACTGTGTGTCGTTGATGCTTATTTATGTCACCATCTGGTGTCAGTAGTTGATATGTCTGCACTGTTGTGGAAGGTGTCTTGGATGATGTAGTAAGTGGTTTCAAACAAGTTTGGTCGCGAAGACAATATCAAAATATAAACTTGATATGTTTGTCTTATTTTAATAATTATTATATCAAATCAGTAACCAGGATTTCGTAAACTGAAGATGTTTAAACTCATGATGCTCTCGTTTTTCTTGTATTTTATGCTTGAGCCTCCTTAGGCTAATCAATTTCACTAAAATAAAACTCACACGTTTATTGCATGTTAACTATCAGTATTTGGGTTTTTCATTTTCCTTCATTGAATCAAACTGACTGAAAACATAAAATACCTGTCCAATACATCGTGGAGAAATTGTTTCGCCACTGAAACGGTCCTCCCTACTGTGTATCGCTGATGCCTATAATAGATGTTTATTGTTGATACAATTGTTGTTTATGTACTTCAAACTGTATCGTATTTGATATTTGCGGTTGATATCTGTCATTGGCATCAATGTGTCTCATCAACGAATCTTTTTTTTTTTTAACCGCAAGTTAGTTGCAACTTCCGATTAGCAATATGATTATTATCTTAATTAGTATCTGGTGAGTGATAAGTTGGAGGAGTAGTGGCGTAGGGGTTAGCTATAGTTTCTTATGTTTAAACAGTAAACAGATACGCTAACATATACCGGTACTGAACAATCGTGAAAGAAATTTGACGATAGATTCCATAACATTACATAAGGTGTTTGAGTAGTTGGAGGAGTAGTGGCGTAGGGGTTAGCTATAGTTTCTTATGTTTAAACAGTAAACAGATACGCTAACATATACTGAACAATCGTGAAAGAAATTTGACGATATTAACATAACATTACATAAGGTGTTTCTTTTTTTTTTTTAATTCATTTTTTACAATATTATAAAAATACATTTAATTATCTATTTTACGTTTTTCACCAAATGTGATTTTCCAAAAATCGTCATTATGGGATAAATTCAATAATTACAATATCGTCTATGCTTTCAAATGAAATCATATATATCAAGTGTGTCACCTTTTAGGCCAAATAAAATTAATTGCTAGTTGTACGTCCCAGCCTTCATCAAATTTTGGAGCCTCATGAAAAAGAAAAATTACTATTTGCTGTTTTTCAAAACAAAAAAAAAAACAAATGGCAGAAATTCATTACTAAGATTTATTTTACTCCTTTTATGTAAAAAAAGACTATTTTTACTATTTAACAGCATGTTTTCCATTAGTATATAGGATAGTAAAAAGCAAATATTAAATACCCTCACCAAAAAATAATTTCAAATCCCGGACGTGAAACTAACATTTAATTTTATTTGGCCTTATTGCTTTTCACAAGTTTATTTTGGTAGACACCTCCCAGTTCTCTTTCGCCCCTTCCCCCATTTCAGGGGTTCTTCGCCATTGAGAACAGATAAAATAGTCGACATATTCTGGGAACCAAACACTAACAACAAAGGAAGAGGAAGACCTGCCACCAACTAGGCCCACATCGAAAACTTCAAAGGGACGCATGAATCGAGAACACCACTGAGATCAACTCTCTTATGGAGGATAGAAAAAGCTGAACAATTTTTTATCGTCAGCTGAAATCGGGGCGCCTAAAGAAGTTTGAAAAGAAACTTGGTAGGGTTGTTTTCGAGCATAGGCCTAAGTCCCATCTTTTGTTTGTAAGGTCAATTTTGTGCTCCAATTTCTCAGAACTTGAGGTTATTCCTTTAAATCAAGGAAATTATGTATCCCCCTTTAATTAATTTAAAGTTCGAAAATCTAGATGACTTGTTGATTCATACCTGACCCAGTTTTTGTTTTTTGTATGTTGTTCAATTTCAGTTTAGAATATGAAAGGCCAATTAAAATAACTAACAATAAAGCTCGGGAAGAAAACGTAGTAATACAGTAAAATAGTATTATAAGACCTAATAGAAAATAATAATAACAATAAGGCTACTAGGTCTACTGTGTGTGATAAACCTTCATTTAAAACATTAGATTGGTCATTTAAAATGATAATTTTCTGTTGATTTACATACTTTTTATACTTCAAAAGTCTTTATCTGTCATGTACTGAATATAAAATCGACATGGCCATTTATTAAGTTGAGATACTTCTCTGGCGATCTTTCGTCATCATTAATAAATACACTCACTAAGCCAATCGTCTCAGAGATGCATTTATATTTTAGTGACACTTTGGCAAAGAACCAACGTAATTGTCATTCTCAGTTTAATGTCACTGTCATTATACTCCAATGACAATGTTCGTGATCGCGCGTTGCGGTCTCATCAGTTTTATAGAATACGAATCCAATCGGTTGGATAGTCCATTTATTCATGGTCACAGTACTGCAAGAGTCAACGGATCGTCACACAGTGTGATCTTCACATATGATATTGGAGCCGAGGATAAAGAACTTGTCCCCTACACAAAATGGTTTGTCACACTGGGAACATTTGAAGCACTCAAGATGATAGTGACGTCCCTCTGTTACCGTCATCACTAGCTCGTAGGCAGGTATGGTGATATTACAAGCAGAACAGAAGCCATTTGGCGCAAATAACCTGATGAGAAGCAATACAAATGTGAATACATTTAATTCAAAATAAATATATAAATGGGTTTACCTCCATACTAACCTAAACTCGTTTACATTAGGCTGTAATTGAGATAATGTTTAATGAATGCCTCTATTCATTAAGCATTACCGCAAAACGGTAGCACTTATCTTTTTCAGTATAATATTACTTATATGAAAAAGTATCTCTTCGGAGATCCCGTCTTGTTGTTAATATGCTTATGATGAGGATGTATCACTTTGGTCTCTGTTTCAAACAATAGCGTTTGTATCGGCATACCGTATCGTATAGTGTGAAATTGTCTCAAATCGAATTTTGAACTTCCAACGAAAGCCTTTAACGCCCTGTTGGTTGCATAGATAGCAGAATATCCTGGGTTCGAATCCCAGGCGGGACAATTTTTTTCCACATTTGAATATTGCTCTTTTTTACCATTTAAAATTTACAAGTATTCGGCATAAATCATACTACAAGACGGTTATTGTTATTATTATTATTATTATTATTATTATTATTATTATTATTATTATTATTATTATTATTTATTATCATTAAGATTATTGTTATTATTATTATTATTATTGTAATGAAAGGTTAACACAAATAGTTCAATGAAAACAATATGGTGGCTAAACGAACATTACATGTACAGGTAAATGATTATTATTATTATTATTATATTATTATTATTATTATTATTATTATTATTATTATTATTATTATTATTATTATTATTTGTTTTTATTGACATTGTCGCTGTAGTTATTGTCGTTGTTTCTCTGGTAGGCATCTTGAACATGAGCATGTTCCTCTTGCCTACCAGACTTTTCACTTTTCTGAATTTTGAGAGAAATAAAATTATGAAATTCTGAAATTATTCCAGTATACTGTAATATATGATATTTGATAGACTCTGATATAAATAAATAATATAATTTTGATGTCTCACTCTCGTGAATAATTTAATAAAAAATCAATAATTTCTCACCTTAAGTAGTCTCTCTTACAAAATTTCCTTCCTAACTTGAAATACACATAACAGTCGACCTCTCCAAGTCTGCAGTGACACAGGTCACAGGACAAACAATCCTCGTGCCAGTATTTATCGAGAGCTTTCAACAAATATCGATCTCTGATGTGTTCATGGCACCCATAGCACTCCAAGTTTGACGGGTGTGTGTTCAACACTTCATCTACTGTTTCACTGAAAAATACCGAACCAGTAGATATTTAAATTAACCAACCAATTAATTCATTAATCGATCAATCAATAAACCAACGAATCAAGATAAAACAATTATATCAAAAGACAGCACTCTAACGATAAGATATTATTTTAGACTACCATAGCTACACTACTACAATCAATGAATCACTTAATCAATTAATCAATCAATCAATCACTTAATCAATCAATCAATCAAATCACAATAACTCAAAGTTATTCGGATCTGCTGAATGGCATTGATCATCAATGTGTAATTCAAAATGCTCGGCTCATCCGATCATTAGAACACAATATGCAACACATCAGGCCTGCAACACATATAATTCTGATAAATTAATTTTAGATATTGCACAGAATACCACGATGAGAGTTTACAATGTCCGTATAATGTCAGTGTATAAATAAGTTTGGATTGAAGTAATAGTAATAATAGGCCTGTGGTAATGTTTTCTTCTTAAGAGCAAACTTAATTGCTGAAGGCTACACTTTATTTTTAATAGAACACATTAACGATTAACGTACGTAATGTCTACCCAAGATGATGATTTGAACACATTTTATAAGAAAACTAAGTCTAAAATTAATTAAAAATAAGAAGGTAATAAGAACAAATTGAGACAGAGGTAAAATGTCAAATAGAGGTTTTTATTTATTTATTTATTTTTTTGACAAAAAATAATCACAACAAATCACATAGAGTAAAATATTGAATGTTATACTGTAAAATTCTGTTGGCCTTATCTGCACCGTATGCGCAGTAGGTTTGACTGTAACCTTCTGTAAAACAGTAGGGCCTACTCACAATAATTTTCTATCTTTGAAAAGTGTGTAAAATTAGAACAAAATAAGAATATTTTGAACCTGGAATTGACAAAACATTAAAAAAAACTGAGTCTGGGCAAAATGTTACTGGTTTGTATAAAATAAGGTGTACTCAGTTCCTTTACTGGCTCTAAATTTTGCAATTTTCATGCTTACGGTTTGTAGTGCGTAGGCAATATAAAACAAGAAAACAGAATCACTGTTCTGTATACATTATATTTAAGCCTAATTCAAACTGCAGGAGAGAGATGATAACTTGCCGTCGTATATGGATCACCCCATTATTCTGCTGTCATCATATTGTAATTTTTGACTGTCCAGGTCCCATATTTGATTCTACTGGACAGTCACCCGTCTTAAATATTTGAATATGCTGAAATCAGCATAATGGGGTGTGTATATTGTATTGTAGTGTAATCGTAAATACAGCATAGGCCATAACTCGAATTAATGAAAATGTAATTCGACTAGGCCTATAGCAATAAGTCGAGATAAGTTACGTTGAATGACTCAAAGAGTGCTTCCTTCCTGGTGTTCATTAGTGTCACAAAGTGGTTTCAAACATGAACGGAAATGATAGATAAACAGAAGAGACCTGCTTCATTAGGCGCTCGTCGGCATTAACGACAAACTCAATCATACGCTCCATTTGTTGTTGTCTGAACAATTTGTCTGAAACAATTACAGTACCTTTCTATTTTAAGAAGTAGATCTATTATTGAGTAGCTTTCATTGGACGAGTTTAGAATTACGTTTTATCAAAAATCGTCTTGTTGGATAATGTGTCGTCATAAAAATTAAAACCACATAAAAAATAAACAGTAGATAACCGGCTTGATGACATCGTGTGTGG